AAAAAAAAAAAAAAAATTATGTTAATAAAAATTCAAAAACTAAGAGGCTGGGTGTGGTGGCTCAAGCCTGTAATCATAGCACTCTGGGAGACTGAGGCAGAAGGATCCCTTGAGCTCGGGAGTTTGAGACCAGCCCAAGCAAGAGCGAGACCCCTTCTTTACCAAAAAAAATAGAAAAATTAGCTGGGTGTTGTGATGAGTGCCTACAGTCCGCTACTCAGGAGACTGAGGCAGGAGGATCACTTGAACTAAGGAGTTTGAGGTTGCTGTGAGCAAGGCTTATGCCACAGCACTCTGGCCTGGACAAGAGTGGGGCTCTGTCTCAAAAATATAAAAAATAAATAAATAAAAATAGTCAAAGTAAAAAACTGTCAAAGAGAGCTGAATTAAAATTCACTAAGTGCTGAAGGAAGGTACTGGAAACGCCAGCTTATTATGACAAACCTCTCTTCTTTTGGTAGACTATCTGATTCATCAACCTGATGGATCTGAAGAGCCAAGAGAGCCTTCTCCCTCCTTGCTGCCCCCCGACCCCCGTTTCTCAGCTGGCCCATTCCCTTTCATTTTACCTGCAGATAAGATGGGCTGAATCACAGCCCGGGTCTCACCTCTGCATAGGGCTTGTCCTCTGAAATCCGGGCCAGTGGGTCACTGCTGGCCAGCAGCTGTGCTACTTCACTGCTGGACCCCATCTTCCCCCAGGCATACTGCTGAACGGCACAGGAAAGTGGGAACACTGGGAACACAGACAGAAGGTCACCTTTCATTCATTCCGCTCTTCAGGTCGGACCCTAAAGTCCGGGGAAACCAGGCAAGAGCTGGGGGTTCCGACTGGCAACAGAGTTTGTAGGTTGTTGGATGAGACTCCTAACCTCTGTAGGAGGCCTCAATGTTATCAACTGTAATATGGGCAGCACGGATCTTGTGCTGACCTGAGGCAGAGAGCGGCGCTGACGTGACCAGAAGGAGCGAGAGGTACCCAGCCCCAGGATGATGCGGCCGGGGAAAGCGGCGGCCCCTTCCCTCAACGGCTACAATCCCCATCGCAGGTGCCCCCTTCTCTGCCCACCCATCTTTCCGTGAAAGCTCAGGAGTGGGCACGACCTGGAAGATCATGCTGGGATTCGTCCCCAGGACGCTCCCCCCAACCCAGACAAACACACCCACACAACCCCCCTTGCCCACATCCCGGCCAGCAGCTCACCTCTCGGAGAAGCCATCCTCAACGCCCTGGACTTTGCTTAAGGCACGTATCCCCTTCCCGGCAGCACCGCGGCCGTTTGCGCCCTTGGCCTCACGGGAAATGTAGTTCCCGGAGCGCCTCCTGGGACACGGGGTCAGGCGTTCCGGATACCTCTCACACCCGCCCACTCTCAGGAGGGCCCCCCACCAGCCAAAGGGTTTCTCGGGTATCTGTAATTCGCAGCGTACGTAGTTACCGAAAACCTGCTAAGTTCCCCTGGAGGATGCATCAGACAACAAGAAAATGTTCCCTTTGTGTTTGCAGAGCTTACGTTCTGGAGAAGGGAAGACCAACAAGTAAAAATAACTGAATCATCAGTGTATTGAAAGGTAATGAAGGTTACCAAAAGCAAGGGAGCTGGACAAGCAAAGATTGTCTGGTTCAGCCTTATTGGAAGGTGAGATTTCAGCACATACTTGCAGGTGAGGAAGGAATGAGTGTTCCCGGTGCGGGAAACAGCCAGAGCACTGATTTTAAACCTTTTTTTTTTTTTTAATCTCATGGCACACTTAAACTTAAGTTAAATTTCTGCGGCACATTTAAATTATGTTGATCAAAAAAGGAAATAAAAGCTAAAAGTAGCTTTGAACTACTTAATTTTTCTTTTTCTTTTTTGAGACACAGTCTCACTTTGTCGCCCTCTGTAGAGTACTGAAGTGTCACAGCTCACAGCAACCTCAAAGTCTTAGGCCTTAAGCCATTCTCTTGCCTCAGCCTCCCAAACAGCTGGGATTACAGGTGCCAGCTAGATGCCCGTCTATTTTTAGAATGAAGTCTCGCTCTGGCTCAGGCTGGTCTCCAACCGTTGAGTTCAGGCAGTCCACCCGCCTTGGCCTCCTAGAGTGCTAGATTACAGGCATAAGCCATTGCTGGGCCTAATTACTTTTGAAAATAATTTAATTAATGGTCTTTAAAATTTTTCTCTGCCAGGGGTGGAGGGGGCTCCATATGCCGGAGGTGGTGGGTTCAATCCCAGCCCAGGCTAAAAACGGCAAAAAGATAAAAAAAATTTCTTGGCCAAGGGCCCGGCACATTGGCTCATGCCTTTAATCCCAGCACTTGGGAGGCCGAGGTGGCTGGATTGCCTGAGCTCACAGGTTTGAGACCAGCCTGAGCCAGAGTGAGACCTCATCTCTAAAAATAGCTGGGTGTTGTGGCCGGAGCCTGTCATCTGAGCTACTTGGAAGGCTGAGGCAAGAGAATCGCTTAAGCCCAAGAGTTTGAGGTTGCTGTGAGCTGTGATGCCACAGCACTCTACCAAGGGCTACAAAGCTAGACTCTGTCTCAAAAAAAATTTTTTTTTTCTCAGCACACCTAAGATCCCCTCATGATACACCAGTTGAAAATCACTGAGCAGCAGGCTTGGCACATGTAGCTCAAGTGGCTAAGGGGCCATCCACATACACCAAAGCTGGCAGGTTTGAATCCAGCCCAGGCCTGCCAAACAACTCTGACAACTACAGCCAAAAAGTAGCCAGGTGTTGTGGTGGACACCTGTAGTCCTAGCTACTTGGTAAGTTGAGGCAGGAGAATCTCTTAAGCCCAAAGAGTTTGAGGTTGCTGTGAGCTGTGACTCCATGGCACTCTACCAAGAGTGACATAGTGAGACTCTGTCTCAAAATAAAAGAAAGAAAATCACTGAGCAGGAAGGCAGGAATTTGGGAATGTGCCTGTCTGTTCATGAGTGAATAGCAAAGAGGCCAGTGTGGCTGAAGCAGAGTGTCCATGACAGAGGGGAAGTAAGGTGGGCAGAGAGGAAAGACAGCAGGTAGAGGATTTTATTTTATTTTATTTTGAGACAGATCCTCAAGCTATCCCCCTGGGTAGAGTGCTGTGGCATCACAGCTCACAGCAACCTCCAACTCCTGGGCTTAAGCAAGTCTCCTGCCTCAGCCTCCCAAGTAGCTGGGACCACAGGCACCTGCCACAACACCTGGCTATTTTTTTGGTTGCTGCCGTCATTGTCGTTTTTGGCGGGCCTGGGCTGGATTCGAACCTGCCACCTCAGGTGTATGCAGGTGGCGCTTAGCCACTTGAGCCACAAGCACCGAGCCTGCTAAAGTTCTTAGGAGGGAAAAGATATGATGCTTACAACCAACAAACTAGTAAAAAAAACATGTATACATATTTCTGTGTAGATAAAAAAAAGTAAAGTAAACATAGCAAAATGTTAAGAACTAGTAAATCTGAGCAAAGGATGAGGGAATATTCATTATACTGCCACAACAGTTGGCTATTTTTTGGTTGCAGCCATCATTGTTGTTTGGCGGGCCCGGGCTGGATTCGAACCCACCACCTTAGGTGAATGCGGCTGGTGCCACTTGAGTCACAGGCGCTGAGCCAGGTAGAGGATTTTAGAAGCATCTCAGCAACTTGAACTTTGAGCAAAGAACTGCTGTGGTATAAACTAATGATGATGAAGATGGTAAATGTCACATGTAGGCCCTTAACTCCTCTAAGCTTTGGTTTTGACCTTAGTAGAATAGGGATAATGATGCCACCTGACATACTTGTTGGTGGGCCAGATGGGATGATGTGGGTGGAACCCCTATAAGGCAGTCGGTCCTCTTATCCTCCCTGTCCTGAGTGCTGCAGGAACTCAGAACCCCAACTCCTCCTCAGGACTGAGTTGCTCACCAGTTGCACACACAGAATTTAGGGAGAGTAACCAAGAGCCCTGCATGGGGAAGGATGGAGCCTGGGCCTTGGCTGTGCTGTTATCATGCTGTATCACATGTAGAAAGACAGACATCTTGATCGCCTCAGTTAGTAGCCAGTTGACTCAGGAGCACAGCAGTCGAAACTACTGGGAACCAGGAGTCAAGGGTTATAGTCCCCACTCTATCCCCTTCATCTCCACCCCACCCTCACCCCCTGTCCATGCACTGATTCCCACAGCCTCTACCACACATGTCTAAAAGAACGAGGGAGTGCTTGAGCAGCACTGTGGCTCAGTGGGTAGGGCGTCAGCCCCACATACCGAGGGTGGCAGGTTCAAACCCAGCTCTGGCCAAACTGTAACAAAAAAATAGCCAGGTGTTGGGGCGGGCACCTTTAGTCCCAGCTACTCTGGAGGCTGAGGCAAGAGAATCGCCTAAGCCCAAGAGCTGGAAGTTAGGGCCACAAAGTGAGACTCTCTCTCTAAAAAGAAAAAAAATAAGATGGAAAACACAAGAATCTTGCGAACAGCTATCTCAAATACCTTATTCTGGAATACCATTCCTTTCCCTCATCCCCACTCCTCTAGCCGTATGACCCTTCTTGGATAAGAATAAGGGATTAGGCTGGACACAATGGCTCACACCTGTAATCTTGTTACTCTAGGAGGCCCGGGCAGGAGCACCGCTTGAGATCAGGAGTTTGAGAACCAGCCTGAGCCAGAACAAAACCCCATCT